TTTTTCTGTTTCTTCCGTTTTCCGTCACTCGTCGTGTAAGAAAAGCGAATTCCGATTGCGAGAGGGATTAAATGTATTTGATATTTTTTTGGTTCTCGTGTTGTGAGATACTACGTTGATAACGAAATTCTTATTTATAGAGGTTTAATTGCGTACAAAATGAAACGAAGGATTGTTGACTGTCGTGGGAATCACCAGTGGTCGCCATTAATAAGTCTTATAATAGCACTATGGGGATCACGAGGACACCAAAATTAATTGAAGCTTTGAAATAAATGAACAGCCGTGTCTATCAAATTTTTAATGCTTTATAGCGTTATATAGTAGTGTGAGATAATAGTATAGTATCTATTTTAAATTTAATACATATTTTCTTTCTAAATGATTAAATGATTATCGATTTGACACAGAAATATATTTAATAAAATATATTTCATGTATTAAATATAAAAAATTTTTACAAGTTGTAATATTATTAATATTATACGTATATGTATCTTTCAGAATTAAAAATAAGAATGAGTATGACTTCGCAGTTGACCATCGTTTGATAAAACATGTACTGATTCTACTTACGATATGGCGTGCAGCAATTCCTGCCGTTGCTTTTCTTTAACTTTTACGCTTCCTCCTTCTTCAAGAGCAACTTGCAGTTCCCTCTGGAGGACCGCAAGTTTTCTGCGTTCACCTTCTAAAAGTAAAGAGGTAACCTGCAACAGTAAGTATAAAAAGTTAATCAAAATTTCTGGAAATCGATTTCACTTGTTTTTGCATTTTTAATTTTATTCAAACTCGAATTATTATTTTATTTCGTGATTAATTAATCATTGCGTGTTAATTTAATGTATAATTATTTTATATTTATTATTTTTTTCGCGAATTTGCAGTTAAAATATATAATAATATATATATAAACCGAAATTAATATAATAAATTTTATTAAATATATTAAATTTATTAAATATATTATTATTTATATATTAATAAAATATTAAAAATATTATATATATATCATAATATTTAAATATTCCATATTTTAATTGCTAAAATTAATAAATCGTTAAAGTAATAATACTTATCGATACGTATGTTTGTGATTTTGCCCTCTAAGCTACGGTTACCGAGTGGGGAAAAGTCGCACGTTACGAATCAGTTCCGCTTCGACCGTGGTGCCGTAAGGACGAGTCGTAGTTACACGTATTCGATTATTAAAATAATTTAAAATTGCGTGTGAATTTTGTGTTTAAAATACGTGTGCTTTTTTTACGAGTGTTTAAAGTACGTTTATTCGCGAGTGTGATAATTTTGTGCGTTTTATTCGCGAGTATCACTACATTTCATCATTATTTTGGACAAATCGGAAGTTGGATGCCGAATGCTGTGCCGTATATTATCTAAGAACAGCAAGTTGCATGCTTCTTTACACAGGTAATTGATTTATTTCTTAAATATATACAAAACAGAAAATCAAAAAGAGAAATAAAACGGAAATAATGAAAATATATTCGATTGACTCGTATTTCAACTATGATTACGCGCCAAGAATAAGAATAGACAAGAAAAGTAAATAGTAGGAAAAGGATAGAGATAGTAAAAATATTAATGGTG